TTTGAGCAAAATTTTAAATAAATTAAATTAATTATGCAATAAGGATAGAGATTGAAAGAAGCTACTGAAGGTTAAATTGTTTAAGCTGGAAACAAGATCGGAGGACCCTTTAAAATTGGAAAACCTGTTTACTAAGAAAAGAGATTGAAATTGTTTAATGAAATATATCAACGTCAAAAGGCAGAACTTGAGGCTAAAGAGAAGACCCCAATTACTATTACTCTCAAGGATGGAAAGAAGATAGAAGGTTTGTTGTATAGTTTATGATTTTAGGTAAAAAGTGGGTTACCACTCCATTGATGATCGCCTTAGGAATCAGTAAGAAGTTGGCTGAAAACATGGTGGCTGCTAAAGTTGTGTACGACAACATATTTGAGAAAAGTATAAATATATTATAACATCTATAGATTTCGTGGATGTAGATCATGAGGATTAACAACAATAAGCATCTACATTGAATTTGAAGCCAGATTACTTGATTTGGGATTTGACTAGACCATTGGAAGGAGATTGCCAATTGGAATTGTTGAGTTTCGATGATAATAATGGAAAGGAAGTATTTTGGCATTCATCTTCCCACATTTTGGGATCAGCCTTGGAAGAAGTATATGGATGTCATTTGTGCATTGGTCCAGCAATTGATGGTGGATTCTTTTATGATTGCTACATCGGAGATTACAAGGTCACTCAAAATGATTACGTCAAAATTGAGAAGGCTGCTTCAGATTTAGCAGCATCCAAATAAGAATTTCAAAGAGCAGTCTTAACCAAAGATGAATGGTATCGATGATTATTATTATATTCTAGCTTGGAATTGTTTGGTACTAATCCATTCAAGAGACAATTGATAACCAATAAGATTCCAGAAGGAGCTATGACTACTGCTTACAAATGTGGTAATTTGATTGACTTATGTACTGGTCCACATTTGCCTAATACTAGCTATGTTAAGGCATTTTAAGTGACCAAGAACTCAGCTGCTTATTGGTTAGGTAAGAACACCAATGATGATTTGTAAAGAGTTTATGGTGTTTCATTCCCAAGTAAGAAATTGTTGGATGAATATGTCAAAATATAAAAGGAATTAGCCTTAAGAGATCACAGAAATGTAGGTAAGAAACAGAATTTGTATCTGTTCCATCAATTGTCTCCTGGATCAGCTTTCTTCTATCCAAGTGGTGCTCATATTTACAACACTCTAATGAACTTTTTAAGAAGACAATACTATATCAGAGGCTATTAAGAAGTTATTTCACCAAACATCTTCAATGCTTAACTCTGGAAGATAAGTGGGCATTATGATAAGTATAAGGAAAACTTGTTCTTCATCAACATGGGTGAAGAAGGGAGAATATGGATTAAAACCCATGAATTGTCCAGGACATTGTCTTATGTTTGATATGATCCAACACAGTTACAGAGATTTACCAGTTAGATTTGCTGATTTTGGTGTCTTACACAGAAATGAAGTACATGGTGCTTTGAGTGGATTGACCAGAGTTCGTCGTTTCTAATAGGATGATGCACATATCTTCTGTAGAATGGATCAAATCTAAGAAGAAATCAAGAGTTGTCTTGATTTCTTAAGTTACATCTATTCACTCTTTGGATTCGAATTCAAATTGTATTTGAGTACTCGTCCTGAAAAATTCTTGGGAACCAAAGAAGTCTGGGATAATGCTGAATATCAATTAGAATAAGGATTAAAGAAATTTGGAAAACCCTTCGAAGTCAATCCTGGAGATGGTGCTTTCTATGGACCAAAAATTGATGTCAAATTATATGATGCCTACAAGAGAGAACACTAATGTGGTACCATTCAATTAGATTTCAATTTACCTGAAAGATTTAATTTGTAATACAGAGCCAGCGAAGATGTTTAAGAAGTCTAATAGGATAAGGAATAACTTCATAATGAATAAGTGTAGGCTGCCTAAGAAATCATTGATGTGGTTTAGAAAAGCTTCTCATCATTCAGACACTGATAATACTATTCCTTCTTAAAATCCTTAACAATAACCTGTTGAAGACCCAGTTTAAGAAAAAGCTCCACAAGAATAGAATGTTAAGAAATAAAAGAAATAAAAATAATAAAAAGAACCATAATAATAATAATAAGATTAACACAAAAAATAAAAATTGCCTGAAGATATTATTGAATCTGGTTCAAGTCAAGGATTATCACAACATGAATTACACAAAGTCTTACACGGTATAACTTCATTTATTATATTTTCTAGAAAAGAAATACGAATTGGGATATCATCATTTAAAGGCAGGATTTGCAAGACCAGTCATTGTCCATAGAGCTATCTTGGGATCA